TAGAGAACCACTACTGTCCAATGCCGACAAAAAGAAGCTATTAAACTGAGGTTTGAAGAATACTTTACAGGTCATTGGACTAACTATTTAGGCCACAGAGGAAGACTTAGATTTGGTCTAAGGAATATTTTCCTAACAATGAGATTACTCCATAGTAAATGGATGATTACTGAGGAAACAGTAGTTCTCTACCCAGGCTACACTGTGGAGTCATCTGGGAAGCTGTGAACACTGCCAGGGCCTGACTCCACCCTCAATGGAGTCTAATTTAGTCAAGAATGGGACCCAGTAATGGGTCATGTTGTGGAAGCTCCCAGATGATATGAATGAGAACCAATGCTAAGAACCAGTGACCCAAAGCAAAAGTAATGAATCCCAACAACCTGTGCTTAAACAAAAGAAAGGTTACTTTTATCCAGCTGGGTGTTCAACACTGTAGGAATACTCCACGCATTCCTACCCTACTCCTATGCCTAGTGGCCCCAACAGTAGGCCTTGTACAACCGTCTTCCTGCTGTGGCTCCTCGCTCATAAAAGTCTGACAGGTGAGTCCTAAAGTGGAGCCAAGAAAGAGAATTCAGGATCTAATGCCCTGATGAAGAGGTGACCTATGGAACTTTGCTCTCTGACCCCTGAGTGACAGGAGTCTTTTGTTTAGGAGAGTTTTCTGGCTTATGAGGGGATAAGGAGCCATTTATTCTTTGGTCAGCCCAAGCATGTGTTATAGTTGCTCTGAGAAGCTCATGAGAAAAAAGAGAAAGACAAAGATGGAAAATGGTTACACTTTAGACCACTAAGGGGGTCTTTCCAAAACAACAGACAGCTTACGGCAACAATACATCCTTTTTTAAAAAATCTTTTGCAGACACGGTTCACGAATTTCTCTTTTGACAGAGAAGCAGGCCATTTCCCTGGATATAAAGACAAAGTGAGTATCAGTAGTAGGAAAGTTACGCTTTTGTCTGTGCACAAAGCATTTGAAACAGGCCTATGGATTACTACAAACAGCTGTACAGAATTATTGGCCATTAAGGGTCAGCTGAAATTAGTTAGTAAATTAAAGAAAGTCCAATAATCAGAGAGTCAAAAGGAGAAGGAGACAATGAGGGTGGGGCAGGTCTGGATAGAACCAGAATGGAGAGAGAACATACTTTATCTAATATTTGGGACTTGTTTTCTTATTCTACAGTTAAAGATGCTGCGGTTCAGAGAGGTTGTGAAAGAGTAAAAAACTGCCAACTGTGTAGAGCTAGGACTGAAAACCAAGTTGGCCTCACTGCAGAGGTTCTTTAGAGGCTTGAAGCGAAAGCTGGGTCAGCAGAGGCAGTGAAATCCTTAGGCTAATGGTGCAATTAGCTTGTCCATTACAGGCTTACATTTCCAAGCCACTCACTAGTCTTACCAGAGCCTGGCCTAGCTGGGGGTTCATATGAATTCCAATGACTATGGCATGGAGACAAGGCTCTGGTGGGGAGAGGTTGGTATCTTGAATGAAGGGCTGGATGTGTGAAGAAGGGTTAAGAAGAAAGTTCTTGTGGAGGGAGGAGAGAATACAGGAGTTGCACTGAGTTTCAGAGTACATTTTGATAAGCTGACTTCAGTGTCCCACGCAGGCCACTAGAGGTAGGAATAGTCTTACTTTAATAAAGATTAAGTTTTTCTTTATGAGAATAATAAAATGCTCATTACAAAAAATGTGGAAAAAGCCGGACTCGGTGGCTCAGCCTGTAATCCCGCGCCTTTGGGAGGCAGAGATGAGTGGATTGCCTGACCTGCAGGTTCGAGACCCGCCTGGGCGGCAACACCTCATCTCTACAATAAATTTTTAAAAAATCAGCTGGGCGTAGTAGCACATGCCTGTAATTCCGGCTACTTGGAAGGCTGAGGCGGAAGGATCGCCGGAGCCCAGCAGGTCGAGGCTGTGGTGGCCAGGAGCGGCCACTGCACTCCAGTCTGGGTGACAGTGAAACTCCAACTCAAAAAAAAAAACAAACGTGGAAAATACAAACATAGGAAATGGAAAAATAGACTCAATTGGTAAAAACAATAAAACTTATTGTGATTCCAATTTTTTTCTATTTATATAATTCACATTATTGTGATTATGAATTATATATAAATATTTGTTCTGCTTTTGTCACTTAAAATTGTAAAACAAGCATTTTCTATCTTATTTGCATGTCATTTCTATCTTATTTGCATGTCATTTCTATCCTAATATGTTATAATTATATTGTAAGTATGTATACTTATATGTAAATGATTGTAATATAAATTATTATAATTTAGAAAAGTATAAATCCTTATATCATATATTTATACAACAATGTACCTAACCTGTACGGGGCATTTAGTTTAGAAGGTCTATTATAGCCAGGTGCAATGGCTCATGCCTGTAATCCCAGAACTTTGGGAGGCCAAAGCAAGAAAATTGACTGAGCCTAGGAGTTTAAGACCACCCTGGGCAACTTGGCAAGACCTCGTCTCTACAATAAAACAAAAAATTAGCCAGGAGTGGTGGCATATGCCTGTAGTTCCAGCTACTTTGAAGGCTGAGGAAGAAGGATTGCCAGAGTCCAACAGGTCACAGCTGTGGTAACCATGAGTATGCCACTGCACTCCAGCGTGGGTAAAAGAGTAAGACTCATTTAAAAAACAACAAAAACCTATTATAATATACTAAAGAATGGAATAACTGAACCAAAGATATAGAGGTTTTAAGGACCTAAGACTGTTAAGGGGCTGGATCTTCACTTAGGCAGGTCTTCTTAAACTGGTACCTATTCCTGGGTTTGATCCTCAAACTTGGCTTGCTCACAATTCAATTCTTTCAGTAGCAGGAATGACTGGTACTTAGGAAGTATATAGCAGTTGTGAGAAACAAACTTACCTGTACAAAATCAAAGGATGGACACAGATACGTGGAATACAGCAGAAGCGAGACTTTAGTGATGGTCTTGCAAGATTGGATGTCTGGTGGGCAGCCATAATGAAGCAGGAAGAATCAACATTTTTATCCCTAAAACTCAGATCCCTCTCCTGGTTCCTCATTAGAGGAATTCTGCAGAAGTTACAGGCTCTCCCGTACAATGCCTATGTGACATACTTTGATTAACTTACAGAATCATTTCATTTGTATGTCCTATTTGCCGAACATCTTACAGAATTACCATTCTGATTGGATACCACCAAAAGTTTAAACATGAAGCCTGCCAAAGTAAAAATTCCGTGGAAAAAAAGCACAAAGAAACAGGAAATGAATCAACAAAAGAGAAGCACAAAGCATTTAGACACCAACTTGAGAACCCAAGATAAGCTAGGCTCCAATTTGAAAATAAATCGCCACTCTTATTTCTCACTAATTTATAGTAGAAATCAGAATTACCACATGGAGACGGTGGAAGTCATTACTACTGTTTGCCAAATATTTCTGCTTTCTACCTCCCAGACAGTACCTCCCATATACATCCCAGTATGTAGGATCATACTTCCTGCTCTCTGTAATCACCTGGGGCCTGTATCCAGTTCTGATGAGAAATTGTGTTTGCAATGGACACTTGTTTGCAGGAAGCAGAGCTTCTGGAGCTCTCTTTCTCTGTCACTGTGACTGGCAATATTTGAGAAGGTGACTGCTCCATCAGCCCACGACGAGAGTATGAGCAAGAAATACAAATTTACCATTTGAAGTCATGAGACTTGGAAGATGGCTGAAACTGTAGCATGCCCTAGCTCATCCTGACTGCTACAGAGGCAATATTAATATTAACCTCTATAAACGGAAATCAACTAAAGTTGAAAGACTGCTGTTAGGAATTAATCCGAATAAAAGAAAATATATATGTCAGCTGTTTTATGGTCCTTGACTAAGAGTACAGTAATGTTCAATGTTAATTAAGACTTCCTCCTCCCAGATAGTCCTGGCTGGGCAATGCCAACATTTACCTTCCTGAGTCTCCTTTTTACACTTTTACCATTGACCAAGCCAACTTCTGATGGTCACCGTCTACTTTTAATTGTTGCTTTTATTCTAAAAGTCACACCATATGCTATGGTGTGAAAAAATGAACAGTTTAGACTCAAAAGCAACAAAATGTAAAAGACCTGTTGTCTCCCTCCTCTAACCATCCTATTCCCTCCAGTTTCCAGTTGGGGGTGTATCCCTCCAGGCACTTTCTCTGAAGTTCAAAGTACAAATGGAACCCACTCTTCATATCGTTCTGTACTTCCTTTAGTGTGTGAGGTATCTTTTCATGCCGGTGCATATTGATTTACCCCTTTATCTTTAATGATGGCAGAGTTGTCTTTCAAAGCTTAACCATCCTTCATGTAATCAGTTGGTAAATAGTTGGGGTTTTTCCCAGTCTTTTGCTATTGTTAATAATGCTCTAATTAACACTCCTGTAAAAATGTATTTTCTGCACACTTATAAAAGTTAATACAGAAGGAAAATTCCCAAATGTAGAGTTGAAGGGAACTTGGAGTTTAAATGCCAGTAAATATTGCTAATCCCCTTCCCACAGGTCAGATCAATTCACATTGCCACCACTACAGTGAGAGTTCTTGTCTCCTCCCCCTCTCAAGACACAGGGTATTATCAAACTTTTAGAAATCTCTACCATTATCCTCATAAAAAAATATATTGCACTGTTGATTTAAAGTGCATTTCCTTAGTAATAGGTGAGTTTGTGCAAGATCTTTCTTTAAGTATGATAATTACTTCAGTCAAGTATGATGAGGGCTGGGTGGCATTCTTTCTCTTTAAGTGTGCTGATTTTATTGTTTGAGTCTCAAAGAACAACCCTATTTTTAAGCCCTGAGGAAGCATCTTGTCATTGACCCTCATTTACTGAATAAATAGGGTTCACAGCATTTCTAAGACCTTGAGAGAGAGAGAGAACAGCTGGGGTGTTTTACAGTGATGTCATCAAGGCAGATGGACTGGGAATTGGCCAGCCCTCGAACTTCTCAGTTAATTGATGTGACATATTCTTTCATTGCAGCAATTCAGCTTTGTGTCCTTGCCTACTGACGTGCTGGAAATTGAGGTGAAGGACAAGTTTGCCAAGAGCCGTCCCATCATCAAGCGCTTCTTGGGAAAGCTGTCAATGCCTGTCCAGAGACTCCTGGAGAGACACGCTATAGGGTAAACTGTGACTGAGCTCTCACTACCACTAGAGTTGGCCAACAGGTCGTGCCCAAGGGGGGCCTGTAGGCTGCCAACAGTATAGTCTCAAAGAAATTCAAACTAAGATGGTGTTGCTGTATTTCCTTGGCTTCTCCCATTAATTATGTTTCATCCTTCCCTTTCCCCTTACTTGTGTATTCCTGATTACTTATGCAAGAGAGGAAAAAATCCTGAGACAGTATTAAAAGGAGCCCTCAATGTGGCATATTTCTTTACAGCTAGAAACTAAAGCTTGTTTTACTATGAAGAATATTATTTCATTCATATGCCTGCTGGATATAGAATTTAATCATATGCAACATTTCCATAACAAGATGAAATGCTGAGTTACTAGGGCAGAGCATCGTAAAAGATGCTAATATTTACAGAAAATGCTAGATAACATAGATGAAAAATGGAAAGCATGGCAGAATTCAATTGTATATGAGAATGTATTTCTGTGTTTTGTCTCTTCTGCATTCATATCCACTCATGGTTGCCATTAAAGTGGACTATGGCCAGATAAAATCCTTATGTATAATACGGTATTTCTTTTGGTAACAGCAACTATATTTGAAAACATTAGGTATGTTTTCTGTTCATAACATACGCTTACATACAATGTAATGCTTAGAAAGATAGCAAAGGAATGAGAAAAAAACATGCAGAGTTTCCAAATGTCTTTTTTTAATTTTATTTTAAAGATGTGGGGCACAATTCAGGGTTAGGTATACAAATGTTCATTATTCAGGTAACCTTGCTGATGAGGTGTGCCCCTCCCTTCCCTGGCAGTTTCCCTCAACTGCCATCCCACCCCCCCCCTCCCCTGGCAGCTTCCCACTACTGCCAATCCCTTCTTTATAGTATTATGACAATTGTTCAAGATCTGCTTATGAGTGAGAACATATGGTACTCTGTTCTTGTGATCTTTGTTGTTTCAGCTAGTCCTCACAAGGTTTCTGTAAGGTAGCATTATCACCATTCCTCCAAAAGATGGAATGCAGCTTAGAAAGGATAAATAATTACTGAAGCCTAAGGCTTGTGAGTGGCAGAGAGGCAGCTAGAATTGAGAAGCACACCTGCCTATCTCCAGAGCCCAAGTGCCCCTCCCCACCCAAACAGGCTTCACACAGGGTTCCTGGGACTGACTGTCTAGTCTATTGTGGGCCACGCTTTCCATTTCTCTCCTTCTCGGCCCTACTGGCTGCTCTCACAGCTGCTAATACCTCTGCCAGGGGGTTGATACAGGGACCATTAATTGTCCCTCCATGTTGCCACAACCCACAGAGAAGGGCATGGGAGGGGGGGCGGGATTCAAGAACTCCTGTACACTCCTGAACAGATTACTGAGAATTCCCTTGTTTTCTATGCACTCCCGATAAGTAGCTTCAGGGGATCCTTGACTTCCCTGCAGACTATGACCAAAGAAAATCCCTATTTACTCCTTTTCTTTGAACTATATAATATCAATGTAATCATAAGGCTTGTGATTTGCATGGTTTTTGCAATGCTTGATGTCTTAGACTTTGTAAACTTTCTTTACTCTAAATATCACTATCTAAATGCAAAATGCAGCTGTAACTTAACTTTTATGCAATGCTCTGCTGGTCACGTGGTTAATGTATAGGTACCAGCAACTCTGGACTATAAAAGTGAATGGTAAAAGCCTGGAGGGTGAGCAGAACCATTTTAGAAAGACCTTGAGTCCAGCTCTGCTCCTTGGATTCGAACTCAGAAATAAACTTCTTTCTACCCTGCCCCTTTGATTTATTGGTATCAAGGGGAGCAGCTGAGTGATACTCAGACCATAACAGGGTGGGTTACTGTGACCATAAGAAAAACATCCTGAACCCAAACTTAATTGCAGTCAGGGAAGGCCTAAAGAGGAGCAGACAGTGACACAAAATTAAATTTATTATGCTTTATATTGGCTTTCCAGGTTTTCTTGCCTTGGCTTTTCACTCATCTAACCAACAAATATTATTTGAGCCAGTGACATGTGAAAGGTGCTGCAATTGACACAAAGCATGTCATACGTAGCCCCTGTGAGACAAAAAGTGGGGCTATGAAGAAGGCTTCTGCCCACCCTAGCACCGAGCACACTGCAGCCCAGCATGTATTAGATATTCAATCTGTACCTGTTGAACCCAACTTCTCTCTCCTGCTCGCTTTAGCACAGAGAGGACCTATCTGCTGTCCCATGATGATACTTTCATAAGCAGAAGCTGCTGACTCATTTCTCCTTGGAATTGTCCCACCCTGCCCGTCTCCCACTACAGAAAAGCACATCCCCAGGTGGTAAAAGCAAGTAATTGAGGTAGAGGAGGGTGTCACCTACCAGATGAAGGTCAATTATGATCTTCCCAGTGTTCTTGCCACCCAGGGTAATGGAGGGCACGGATAGAGTATAATTGAGCCTAAACCTCCTCCAAGAGAAAGCAACTAGCAAGCCATGGACATGCTCTCCTCCCACCCCCTCTGAAAGGATGGCACACCATTCCCTGGTGGCTGGGTGGAGTGGCGCCTCTGCCAAGGCTTGTTGCTTCCCACGCTCCTGGAAGCCATTCTGTAGTGCTGCCCCTTCCACCAGAGATGCCCCAAGGAAGGTAGGAGCAGGATGTTGGAGGGATGGCCACGGAAGCAGTGGTTGTTCAGCTTGCATCCAGCCTGGGCCATAGCAGGACCCCAGAGTGCACCCATAACAAAAGCGAATCCAATTCTCACCACAGCCTCCCCCTGCTCTCAGGAAATGCCAGTAAAGCCCTCTATATCAATTGCTTTGGAAACGTTTTACTCCACCTGCACCAGCTGCCTCCCTGTCCTCGGATATTTGAACCTTTCCTCCCTATACATACACACACTCATTTCTAGTACTCCCTTGATTTCTTGGCCTGTAACATCCCAGCCTTTAGCTGGCTGGCTGCCTCTGACCCTGACTATCTCATCTTCACTATCTCATCTTGGACATGTCACCAGCTGCCCTGAAGCAATATTTGGTAGTCCTACCTTATGCCCCAGCTGGATGTAAGCTACTTAAAGACAGGGGCTATGTATGACATGCTTTGTGTCAATTGCAGCACTTTTTACATGTCACTGACTCAAATAATATTTGTTGATTAGATGAGTGAAAAGCCAAGGAAAGAAAACCTGGAAAGCCAACATAAAGCATAATAAATTTAACTTTGTGTCCCTGTCTGCTCATCTTTAGGCCTTCCCTGATTGCAATTAAATTTTGGGTTCAGGATGTTTTCCTTATGGTCACAGTAAACCTACTCCATAGTATTGACCAAGACCCTTCTAAATAGACAGAATTCCGAGGCTCATCCTATTCTTCCTACATATAATGTTGTCTTTAGTGATCTTCCAAGAAACTCCGAAGTCTAAATTATGGCTTATCAAAGAATACTAAGTCAGGGAATCATTAGGATATATGTTGTCTGTTTCGTAATGCCATCATTTTCTAGAAAGAAACATTAAAACACTACCAGTCAGTGATTTATCTTTCAATTTGAGTATCACAAATTAATAAATGGATTAAAGAGTCATCTGAGTAACAAGTGGTTTGGGGATATACTTTGTTATTTATTGGTTACACTGAATGTGTTCATTTCTGAACACCCAAGATTATCATTCTTCTTATTTAGGCCAAGGTGGAGGATAATATAAAACAATTTATATTGTTGATGAAAATGTAACAGCAAAGCTTCAGGCTGATTGCCTCTAGATAGCTTTCTTCTTAGAAATTAAGAAATTGCTTTGAGTGGGTAGAGGGGATAGCACCAGAGCCTAGGATGGAGAGTCAGGGTAGCTACATGTGGGAGCCTGACAGCCCAGAGACCAGAGAACCCAGCTACAAGTCTTGCTCTGCCCCATCATGAAGCAGATGCCTTTCCACAGCACCCACTCACTCTCCAGTAACCATGACAGCATCCTTTCTTAGACACTGCATACAGACCACAAAATATGCATTTGCTGGCACTGTCCATCATTAAGGGCATATTTGGAAAATGGCAATCTGCACAGGAAAAGCAAGCAAAGACTATCCATGTCTTTTTAAATTCTCTCTCTTTCTCTGTTTTAGAATACAAGTTAGCAAACTTTTTCTGTAAAGGGTCAGATAGTAAGTAGTTTAGGCTTTGCAGACCACATGGTCTCTGTCAAACAACTCAACTCTGCCATTGTAGCATGAAAGTAGCTACAGATAATAAGTAAGCTAACAGACATGACTGCGCTCCAATACAACTTTATTTATGGACACTGACGTTAGAATTTTATATAATTTTCACACGCCACAAAACGTTACTCTTCTTTTGTTGCTTTTTCCAGCCATTTAAAAATACACAAAGCTCACAGCCATACAAAAACAGGTGGTAGACCAGATTTGGTCCACTGACTGTAGTTTGCTTACTCCTGCTTTGGAACACAGGTGGTCTCTGACTTACGATGGTTTGACTTAACATTTTTTTTGACTTTACAATGGTGCAAAAGTGCTATGCACTCAGTAGAAACTGTACTTTTAAAAATTTCTATCTTTTCCTAGGCCAACAATATGTGATTGGTACTTTCTTGTAATGCTGGCAGCAGCAGTGATCCAAACCTCCCAGTAGACTCTGCAATCACAGGATAAACAACTGATATTGTACTCTGCAGTGTTCTGTGTTCAATAAATGCCATGAGATATTCAACACTTTATTATAAAATAGGCTTTGTGTTAGATGATTTTGCCCCCAGTAGGCTAATGTAAGTGTTTCGAATACATTTAAGGAAGGTTAGGCTAAGCTATGATGCTCTGTAGGTTAATGGGTTTATCAGGTTGTAATCCATCGTATGTTAAGGAGCATCTGTAGTTAATAAGTATTTCCTTGTGGTTTTGTATTGCCGTTGAGCATACATGCTTTCTCATCTTTATCTAGAGTGGTCTCCTATGTACCTGAGCAAGTCATCACCTCCTACCTCCTAGGGCACAGAAAGCACACTGTGTATGGTCATTAAGGGGAGAGGTATTGACCAGATGTGTAATGATGCTTGTTTCCTTCTAGGGATAGGGTGGTCAGCTACACACTTGGCCGCAGGCTTCCAACAGATCATGTGAGTGGACAGCTGCAATTCCGATTTGAGATCACTTCTTCCATCCACCCAGGTATTTTCAGCACGAACTTCATGTCTTGTCCTAGGCCTATGTGACATAAGCGTGGTTCCTTTCTATAAAATACAATAACCATGGTTCTCTCCAGACATGTCCTAGGTTTTGTGGTTCTCTATCCTCTCTTCCATTTGAGGCCCAGAAGCCAGTGATCTATTATGGAAGCCAGGTTGCTGTCCCCTTGATTGAGAGACTCCTCTTCATTCTGATGACCCAAAAGTAGAGGGTTAGACAGTGGAGTGGGGGTCAACAATGAGGCCAATGTGGATTTAGAGCCCTGTCTTATCATTCTACTGCCAGAATCCACATAGGAGGTGCTCAATAGATGTTTAACCATTGTATACATGGATGGAGGAACGGATGTAAAACATCTCTTTTTACCTAGTAACTAGAAATAGACTAGCTAGTTGTTGAAGAATGTCATGCTATTGAAGAACTAGGATTTTTACAATGGATGTTTATAATATCATAGAGAAAATGGAAAATATAAATTGGACAGAAAACTTCAGAATTACCCAGGATTCAGTTTTTCATGCCAAAACATATTTCCAAATAAGAGTAAGATGCCTCATAATTCTACCTTTGCTCTTCTCCCACAACCCCTATAATTAAGTACAGATCACATTGAGAATTGCTGGGGCCTCCTGGACCACATTTATGAGTTGCCGTTAAGACTAATGAAGTTTTTGAGAACTTAGAGTCTGGAGTTTATCACTACCCGCTCATTAAACTCCACTGTATTTTTGCATACCTAACGTACAACTTAGATAGTAAGAAAACACCTTGACTGTTTTGCCTTTTTATATTCAACCTTTTTTAACATTTTGATAATAAAACTGACTCTTCCTTCGGTGTAGCCATAATGGCAACTTCACAGTTCACCACAGGTTTTTTCTTTGACTGGTGAGTTGCACTAGTGCATCTGAAATGGGGATGTTCAGATCTGGCAGAAATCCAAGAGAGCAGCTTCAGGAAGGTAGAGTTAAGCATTGGTTGCCACTCCTAGAATGGCTGCTAGGTGTAGAGACCTCATTTTTTTTTTAAATTGCAATAAACTCCAAATGTTGGAAACCTTCCAGCCTGAGCTGTTGGATGATGGCTCCCATTCTTCATCCAACCTTTTCTTCTCTCTTTGCCTAAGAATACTGCTTATCCATCCTCCCACCCTGCAGGAGCCATTGTATTCTGAACAAATATAATTAACTTTTCCAGGGATCATCAAAGACTATAAACACCCCTCCTACCACCCTCATTACTGGAGGTCATTCCATCTAACAAACATTGTTGAGCACCTGCCTTGTGCCCAGAACTGGGGTAATGCTGGTGCTTTCAATATTTTAACCAAAAAGTGAAATTCTGTTTCCCTTGAAACAGAATTCTGAAATATGAGGGGGAATCCCCTAAAAGCAGAATTTAAAAATTGTATTTATTCTTACATGTTTAAACTTCAGTAACCTTCAAAGTACTCTCCGTTTGATGTAATACACTTATTGAGATGCTTTTTCCACTGCTCAAAACACTTTTTTTGGTTTTTTTTTGAATTGGAGTCTCACTCAGTCGCCCAGACTGGAGTGCAGTAGCCACTCCCGGCCACCGCAGCCTCGACCTGCTGGGCTCCAGCGATCCTTCCGCCTCAGCCTTCTGAGTAGCCGGAATTACAGGCATGCGCTACCACGCCTGGCTGATTTTTTGATTTATTGTAGAGATGAGGTCTCGCTGCCCAGGCGAGTCTTGAACCTGCGGGCTCAGGCAATCCGCTCACCTCAGCCTCCCAAAGGCACCAGATTACAGACTGAGCCACCGAGCCCAGCTTCAAAACACTTTTTAAACTCATCAATTTTAATGTCCTTTCATGCTTCTGCTTCTGCCATTTTTTTGTTTCACCTCTTCCACATCAGCAAAACATTTCCTTTGAGAGTTTTTTTCATCAAGGAAAAAAAAAAGTCACTCACGGTGAGATGGAGTGAATAGAAAGGGTGGGGCCCAGGGGTCATGCCATTTTTAATCAAAAACTGCTGACCATCCAGCACGGTGTGGGCAGGTGTGTTTCTAAATCACTCACCATGAAATATGCGAATGCATTGAAAGAATCTCCAAAAGTAATTCACTGAAGCTGGATGCAGCCTCTCACAACAATACGAGCTGGTACACTGATGCCAATGGGTTCCTAGAACACTTATCTAGTGCAGGAAGCCTGCCCTACAAGGGACCTGCTCTCCAAAAAAATAATTTTGATTTTGGGGGGGAGTTCCCCCCCTTGATATCCATGACTGCAAGTTGTCATTCACGTAATGAGCTTGCATTCTTATAAAAATTTTCAGCAGAGTTCTGGCTGGTGAGAAACCCTCATCAACCCCTACATCCAATACACTAATGTAGAAATCCCTTAGCACCCACTTATATGGTGGACAGAGTGTCTGAACACCACGGTACTCTCTTCCAGAAGGAATGATACATTTTTCCTCTTGCCAGCAGACGATGAGGAGATCTCCCTGAGTACCGAGCCTGAGTCGACGCAAATTCAGGACAGCCCCATGAACAACCTGGTGGAAAGCAGCGGTGGGGAGGCTCCGGGCGATGCAGCAGAGGCCTCGGAGACCTCGAAGCCAGAGCTGCCGAGCGAGGGCAGTGTCGTGGAAGGTTCCGGAGACCAGAGCTTGGAGCTTTCCAGACCAGGTGAGGAAGCCGCAGGCACCACTGAGGCGGGAGATGATGGCACGGTCCCTGTGGGACCGGAAGGAGCCGAGGAGCTCCTGGCCGAGGACACCCAGCCTGCCCCGAGTGCGGAAGAACTGGCCGAGGGCCTGGACCTGGACGAGGAGGCGCCGCTGCTGCTGGAGGACGGCGAAGCCCCGGCCGGCCCTGAGGAGCCCACGGAGGAGGAGGAGGCGGAGACGGGGAGCCGGGCTGGAGCGGAGGACAGGGAGAAGGAGCCGGAGGAGGAGGAGGAGGAGGAGGGCGACGTGTCCACCCTGGGCTGGGGAGAGGGCAGGCTGCAGCTGCGAACCTCCGCGAAGAGGAAAAGCCGGCCATGCTCCTTGCCTGTGTCCGAGCTGGAGACGGTGATCGCATCGGCCTGCGGGGACCCCGAGACCCCCCGGACGCATTACATCCGCATCCACACCCTGCTGCACAGCCTGCCCTCTGCCCAGGGCGGGGGTGCCGGCGAGGAGGAGGACGGCGCGGAGGAGGAGTCCACCCTCAAGGACTCCTCAGAGAAGGACGGGCTCAGCGAGGTGGACACGGTGGCTGCCGACCCGCCCGCCCTGGGAGAGGACGGCGAGGAGCCCGAGGGGGCCACGCCAGGCATGGCGCCCCCCAGCCACTCCGGGGGCCACTTCCCCGGCCTGGCCAACGGCACGATCCCGGACAGCGACACGCACCCCAGCACGGGGAGCGAGAGCGACTCCAGCCCCCGGCAAGGCGGGGACCACAGCTGCGAGGGCTGCGACGCGTCCTGCTGCAGCCCCTCGTGCTACAGCTCCTCGTGCTACAGCACGTCCTGCTACAGCAGCTCCTGCTACAGCGCCTCCTGCTACAGCCCCTCCTGCTACAACGGCAACAGGTTCGCCAGCCACACGCGCTTCTCCTCCGTGGACAGCGCCAAGATCTCCGAGAGCACCGTCTTCTCCTCACAGGAGGACGAGGAGGAGGACAACAGCGCGTTCGAGTCGGTGCCCGACTCGGTGCAGAGCCCCGAGCTGGACCCCGAGTCCACGAACGGAGCCGGGCCTTGGCAAGACGAGCTGGCCGCCCCTGGCGGGCACGTGGCAAGAACCGCTGAAGGTCTGGAGTCCCCCGTGGCAGGCCCGAGCCAACGGAGAGAAGGTTAGACCTCAAACCTGATCAGAGTGAGAATAGGACCACCAGGGGGACACAGGTGTCACCAACACGGTTTAAAAAACAGAAGGGGGTTGGTCTGTCTCCAAACGGGGTTGCTGGGGCAATGTACGCCTGTCTTGTACGTACATGTGTGCATGTGCATCTGTGTATAAGAGCGTAGGTGACTTTGAGTAGCTGCCACCACCCCCGGTGTCTCAGACACGAAAGGAGAATTATGACTAGCTGATTGTGAGCGTGCACTTGTATGTGTGCTTCTCTGTTTGTTTTAACTAATCACCAGTACTGGTTAGTGTACGTATTATCCTTCTAGTTTTGGCAGGAACCAGAGCCCCAAGTCTAATATCAAATAGTATGTGGGAAATAATCTATGTTCAACATTAGATGGATAATGTGTAAAAGCTCTGCTGACTTCCAAAACACATGGAAGACTAGTAATAAATGTTAATATAAGTTGAAGAATGCAGATTTTACCTCTGTTTTAGAATGCAGCTGGTCCATGTGTGTATGGATTTGTACGTATATTGCTTACATCTATTTGTCATTATTTCTGTCTGCTTAATTCTCGTTATTATTGTTGGTTTTGTTTTGTTGTTGTTGTTGTTGTTGCTTTTGGCTTTTTCGGTTATTGGAAGGGAAGAATAACATGAATGTGTAAATCACTTTGTTTCAAATAAGATTCTAATTCCAAAGCTGCCACCTTTAGTTTTAAAATGTATTCTGTATTTTAACCAAAAATGTTCCTTCTTAGTCATACTTGTGGAATCATATATTAAATCAATTTGCATTTCCTTATCCAGGATTGGGAACTATCTTCCAGTCAAGTGACAGTGGCATGGGGTGGAGGGGATTGAAAAGTTGCATCCTAATACAAAATAATTCAGTTGTTTTAAAAGAGAAAAGCATAGCCTCTGCTATTCTGCTGTTCTGCTATTATTTGTTAGCCTCCAAACAAAAGGTGGTGGCATTCTCTCTAGACTGTAAGCTCATCAAGGGCCAGAATTGTGTCTTCTTTATGTTTGAATTCTTAGCACCTATACAAATCCCTGATGCCTACAAAGTTTCTTAAACAGGAACTAAAGCAAGCATAAAAAATGTAAATATTCAACAATGCCCAGTTCTACCTTTCAGAGAAAGAAAGAGTGAGAGAAGCTGGCATGTGTGGTAAGGAGAAGCCCCAGGAAATCAGTAGAGAAAGAGAAACAAGGAAGTGGTGACAGACAGAATGAAAAGGTACCCATGATAAGTGTGATGGAAGGTCCCTTCCATGAGTAGAAAGGGATAGAAAATTCCCTTCTTGCACAAGGATGTTTTGAGGGATCCAGGGTGTTTAATGGGATCAAGACCCTGGTGCAGGAAGATAGATTGACATCAGATAATGTATGGATATTACTCCTAATCACAACATAATTAAAAATAATACAATATGAGATGTGGGGATTCCCACATAAAAGGGCACTCGTAGAAAGAAAGCCAGCAGGGATGTTTGGGGCCAGAGGTCTGTAAACTTTTCCTGTAAAGGGCCAGGCAGTGACTATTTCAAACTCTGTGGGTTAAGAGGTAAAATCAAGTAACTCTTCACCGAATGCTTTTTTTTTTTTTTCGGCCACAAAAAGTGTAATAACATTTCCATAACAGTTTTTTTTTAGTTCAGAGCCATACAACTCTACTTTAGCCTACATAGTATTTTTGCCCCCATGTTGGGAGATAATCTATACATAGTTCATTGAAAATTGATTCAATATAAATTTGTAAATTTACATCAGATCGTGTTTTACCAAAAAAAGACACTGCCCATGCCCTTGAGGGGCTCACCGTCCAGCAGAGTAAAAGCAGGAAAATGTTTCAGGGTCACAGCAATTTTTGCACAGCAGTTTCTAAAGAAGTTTCTGAATTCCCGAATTCTTCAGATTAAACTCAGAAAAGGTTAAGAAGCACCTACATGCTTCATTATGGTGGTGATAAGGGAAAATTCAAAGATTTCTGAGAGGGTCTGTTGATCTCACAAAGGCAGTTGCAGACGCTGGCACATACTTCTTCACAGCCAGCCTTCCTTGCCTCAGGAGGGAGACCCAGAGCTAACTGCAGATGCATTGTGGTACTGTCCCTCACTCACCACCCACCAGGCTTCACAACAGCAGGTACTCAAAGAAAGCAGGGCTTTGACACTGCCTGCCTGAAATGTGCATATGTGAGTGCCCTCTGCTTCCACAAGAATCAGTGTTGCCCCTTCACCAAGACTTCTGAGCTGCAAATCCTTTCACTATAGAAGTTGCATTAGATCCAGCAAGATCGATTTATTGTTCACATGCTCCCACAGAGGACTCTGCAGCAATTTATGGAGGAACACTGTTATAAATCTGAACTTCTTTTCCCTCTATAAAAACCTCCTCTTTTCAAAGTTCAGATTAAAAACAGTTCTTTAAAACTGTCTGCAGATGAATGAAAAGAGCAATATAATGTTGTGGTTGTGGGCTCAGGCCCTGGAGATTGGCCTCCTGGATTCACATTCAGTCCTACCACTTCCTCGCCAAGTTACCTAACTGCTCTGTTTGCTTATGTGCAAAATGGGTGTAATTGTAGGATCGACCTCAAAAGGGTTACTAGAAGAGTTAAATGAGAGGATACTATAAAGGCGCTCTGCCTTTCACAGAAGGAGGGCTCCTCCAGGGAAACAAGCAGCTTAAAGTACTGTTACATAAAGCATCGAAGGCCGTCCTCTGAACTTACATTTCCTGCACCTTGGAAATGTTCACATATATTAGGTGTAAATCACTCTGCTTCAGATAATATTCTAGGCAGCCGATCTACAACTTGGTCATATTATTTTTAAACAGAAGTTAAAAGGACCTCACTTATTTTTAGCTGAGAAAGAGGTCTCCTTCTGGGAGATTCTGGTGGGTGTGAACACTTGCTTTGTATCTGAGGCTAGCGTGATTACGTGGATTTGTGTCCCTGTGTAGAACAGAATTGCTTGCTTCTTCAGCGCCCTCCATCCATTCAGTCGGCTGAGATTTGTCGGTCACCTCATTGCATTTGCTTGGGGTTTACAAGCAGGTGGGATCAGCTCCATTAACCCCAGGCAGTCGACAATATTGTATTTCCACTAGCTTGGAGGAGTAATTAAGCCGATTGGTTGAACTAATTACAAGAGGTAAGTTTGTTGTTGTTTTTTCAGAAACTAAATTAAAAATGCAGCAGCTGATGACATAACAACTGTACCATTGTTTTTGTTTAATTTCTGTCACTAAACACATACAAAAACAAACATGAGTGTGGTATCCACTCACACACAGAACCCGTCTTTGAAACAGCAGTCTGTCCACACTGGACTATGTGCTGGTATGAGGGGAACCTTCCTTGATTTCCATTAGAATCTGCAAAGACCCAGAGGATTTGAGTAACATACTAGCATTTGCACAGGACATAACATTATATACTCAACATTTGAAAGGACTCTGTTTCTGAATATATCTCTATTTTTGCTTACCGGGTTAGCGCTAGAGATTAAATAACTAAATTCAACCCACCTAACTTTCTTCCTCTTTAATTTAATTTTGATCAGTTCTGTGGAATTCGAGTGAGAAGAAACAATCCTCCTTTCCATACGGAGGTAGTCCGGGAAATAATCAGAATTTGAAATCCCACAGTGATCTCAACCACCATTTTTCAGTCTCTCCTTTTTGGCCCATCACTTGCTCTTTGCATCAGCCGTGGAGAGCAGAAGAAGGAAAAGGCCTGACTTTTGTCCTTTGGCCAGTAGAGGCTATTGTGAGAAAACCAACATGGTGTGAGGCAAGAGGAGCCAGTCCGAATGGAGGCTGCCCTTTGTCCTGAGCCCTTGTAGATAAAGAGCAATGGCCTCTGATTATGTGACCCAAGCAGCTGGTGCTGTGGATCTCCTAACCATATGGTCATTCTACATGCCTGAGGACATCATGAAATAGCAACACCATCTTAGAGCATTGTTCTATTCATTATAAGTCTGGATTGACAACAGTATAAGATATGTCCATAATAATCTGAGGCATGCGTTCTGTGGATATGTTTATTTCTAAAATTTCTCCATGTCTGTCTTTCTTCCTCCTTGTATCCCACTTCTGTGTTTCAAGCTTTCCTGTCTCAGTCTTCCTGCTTTTTTATCTACTTCCTTTGTCTCTTGTCCTTTCCTCTTTCCTGAGCACCCTGACTTGTCTGATTTCTCCTCACAATAATCTGGAACAGTCCCAAGAACCCACAGAATTTTGCAGTCCCTCAGGCCCCTCAGCCCTTAGCATCCCTACCACAGGAATTTACCTTCTTGGCCCACCAGCTCGACTTGTCTTGGGAAGGCACCATTTGAGAATTTCATTTCAAAAATACTCTGAAAAACAACCTCTCAGTAGCCCGCCAATAAAACTTATCCAGATGAGAAGGTGTCGTTTTACACAAGCCCACCGAGCACTTATGGGCCCTTCTAAATGCTACATTTCCTGCCAACAGGCCTGTTTCCTTCTCTGAGCTAAAGTCAGGCTCTGTTAATTTACTCTTGTGTTCTTTTCTGACGCTGCCTTCCAATCAAGGAAATTCAGGTAGTTATAGAATCAGACTCCGATCCTACACATTGGACTGTGTGGCACAAATCATTAGTCATAAAGAATTTGGATTTTATTCTTCTTGTGTTTTTTTTTTTTAATCCCTCTTTCATGGATAACTGTGAATGTAGCAAAATGACACACAAAAAAATAGATTGCCCACTCTTTGGGGTTTGTTTCTTGTAGTGGTTAGTTTTGCAGCCATGCTTTTTTGATGACTTTGCCACAGCAATTAATGAATCTGAATGTCTCGACTATCTTGTCCATAGGTGAATGTCCTATACTCCATAATTCCCAGCCAGTAAGCCAGCTTCCTTCCTTGAGGCCTGAACATCATCACTACCCAACAATCGATGAGCCTCTTCCACCAAGTAAGCTTTAGTTTTTAAAATCTATGTCTTACCTCTTCCTATCAAGTCTAAACAGGTCAGTATGAATATGTATGTAAACATCGAAACTCTTCCCCAACTCCATACCTTACACTGTTATCAAAAGTCAATATGGCACCTACTATAAAAACTGGTGTTGCTTATTTATTTATTTATTTTGGACTAGTGGTTTCAGCCTGTGATCTTGTAGAGATAACCCAGTGTTTTCAGTGTCCCTCAACTTCTGAAATAGAGAGCATTTCTTTACAAGACTTGTCTAGTCCTTGCAAACTGTTCATGACCCTTAAGTCTCAAATTTTACTATTTTATGTTTAAAATTTGCAGTTCAAGATAGAAAAATCCTGTTGTCTATTGGATCTGTTATGTCACAAACATCTCCACATAATAAAACAGCTTCAACCTATCAAGGCACATGAACTTGCACTTTCCTTACTATAACTTGCATCCTAGGTAACAGCTCCAAATTACTTCTGCAGTTCTTAGGGTTGACAGGCAAAATATCATCTTTAGGATAGAATTCAATATCATTTTCTCCTGGTAACTGTAGTGTGTAATTAATGATCATCTAACTAGTCATCTGAATTTGGGAAATTCATTTACTCTCTCAGAGACTTAGTTTTATCGTTTGTAAAATAAAATTGTAATGTCTTCATCTGCTAAATGTAAGGTTTAAAGAAGGTAGTCTTTAGATATCATTCTAGCTTTAACCTTATAATACTCCAATTAATAAATGTATAAGAAGGAACTAACACCCAGGCATTATATACTCACCTTGCATCATGTATGTTCATGAATTCTACAACATCTCTGTTTTGGTTTCAGGTAAATATAATCTTTAAGATCTGATAGATTTTACAAACACAAGATCTTTTCAGGATGTAAGGAAACAGAGTTTCTTTACATTCTTTTCCCTGTGCTTACATGAAGCCGTTACAGTTTTCAAAAGGAGAAGTGCTTATTTTTTAATTCATCTGTTCTTGCTAATGTGATGTATTTTGCACGAATACCATTCTTCTCCCTTTTAAATTATAAGTATCAGTGAGAAAACAAGGAACATCTTTAACATATGAATTTAAAGGAACACAGTATTTGTTTTTCAGGGGCCAAGTCAAACATCATGTTTTTTAACTTTTGATGCTTGATTTTTTTTATTATTTATACACTGATTTATGTACATTCCACATTTGAATAGCAAACTTTCAGCATCACTATAAATACCTCCTACTTAGTACTTACCTGAAAAATATAACATGTTGTCTCTAGGAAAAAGTTACTTTCCTGACAGCAAATAAACTTTCAATGCATGTATGCCTAAGTTGACCTCCACTCCATTAAGTAGTAATAAATAATTTAAATGCAGATATTATAAATAATTGAATGTAAATTTATTTTAAAATAATGAACCTATATACAAATCAGTTTCAAAATAATGACTTTATGTAAGTTTCTTTTAAAAATGAAAACAAATTTCTCCAGATAGTTTTCTATTTTCTATCCACACAATATTGAAAAATATCAGAAGAGTCATTAATGGATTTACCAACTGAATATTCTTAGATAATCTCAAATAATACATGAATGACTTTATTGCTGATAGTTATTCAGTCAGCAAATACTCGTGGAATGCTTACCCTGTGTTAGGTACTGCTGTAGGTAAGCAAAATAGACAGAAATCTCTGCTGTCACAGAGCTTACAGTCTAGGTTGGAAGACAGATAGCAAAGAATAAAATAATTTAGAAGTAACTAGCCTAGCATATTAGATGGTAACAAGTATATGGGAAATTCAAAAGTATATTAGGTAAAAGGTCTTGAATATGTGGTGGTGGCTAGTTTGCCATTTTAGGCCAAGTGGTTAGAGTAGGTTTCACTGAGAAGGCAACACCTGAGGAGATAAGGGTGTTATCTATGCAAGTTTTGGGGAGGAAGAACTTTGCAGGCAAAGGAAATGGCCACTGCCAATCCCCAGATGGAAGCACTCTGGTAGGTTTGAGGAACAGGAGACCAGTGCCTCTGTAGCTGACTGAGAGAGGGAGAAAGAAGCAGGTGATGAGATCAGAGAGATAGCAGGGCCCAGATCACATGAGTCTTGTAGACCACTTAAGGACTTTAGCTTTTACTCTAGATGAAAGAGCGGACGTTGTAGTGTTTTGGAGCAGAGAAGTGATATTGTCTGACTTATGTCCTGAAGAGTTTTTCCTGGTTGCTGTGTAGGAAGTAAATTATGAGGATAAAGGATAGATATGTGAGGTCTAACATAAGACTATCACAGTGACCCAGGTGGGAAAGTATGGTGGCTTGGACCAGGGTGAGAACAGTGACAGTGGGGAGGAGTAATTCAAGTTTGGACATATATTTCGAAGGTAGATTTGATGACAGATTGGATTTGGATGTGAGAAAAAAGAATTAAGGATGGCCTAAGAGTTTTAACCTAGAGGGATGGAGTTGCCTTCAACTGAAAAGGGAAAGGAAGGCTGCAGGTGCAGCAAGTTTTGGTGGGAAGAATCTGAAGTTTGGTTTTGATCATGTTATATTTGAGATGTCAGCCAGGTAGTCATGTCTTTAAGCATAGTTTTGCATTTGTTCAAATTGTCTAAGATGTACAATTCTCCAGGTTTCTGTTACTGTAATAATTTAAGGTGATACATTATTAGGCTCTACATTGTTCTTAGACTTTGTGGAAAACATGATTTGATTTAGTGTTAGAGAGGACCTTCAGTCACATATGATTGATCTGTCCTGCACTACTATAACTTGCCCAGCATCATGAATGTATTGTTTTCAGATGTCTCTTTAGACAAACTCATGGTATCACAGTGCTGAATCTTTCAGGTCATGCTGAGACCTGCAGTTCTATTTGGAATTTTTTTCCATTGTTTGTAAAATATGTGAAAGTAATTTCTTTACAAAGCAATCCAAGAAACACTCATAATTTCTGCTTACACTTAGCTATTATTTTCTGAATTATAAAGAGTATACAATTAGCACTATGCATTCCAGATATTTAATATATTGGCAAAAGAGCCTCTCTGTTGGGCTTACCACATTTTTTCATGAGTGATTTGAAAGTATGGAAACACGTGGTGATAAGTTATCATTATTGGAGCTTTATTTTCTAGTTTTTTTCTTAATTTATGAGACCCAAGCTTTGTCTGCGAAGAAGTCCTTCCTTTACTGTGGGCACCTGGAGAGCAGGGATGTGTGTTGCTCAGCTCTGTGTCCTCAGGACATGGCACAGTTCCTAGTTCAGAGTGAGTGTTAAATGGGGTTTGTTTGGTTGAGTTAAATAGCACGATCTCTTCAAAGATTAATGTTCATTCTTTGTTGGATGACAGTCAAGTTGGATTCAAGAAAACAATTTTCCAACAGCTTTTACTAACATGAGTTTTGGACATGTTAAAAATTTTAAATTTATGGATCAAGGTTAATTACCTGCTAAGCACATGTAAACACAATTTGATCAATGAGCTAATTTCCATTTATGACTAACACATGACAGCCAGATTATCTAATCGTCAATTTTAATCAAAATCTCCTAGAACATATGTATACAATCTGCTTATATTTATTTATTCTTGTTTGTCATATAAATTAAATTTGTTGTTTTCTGGTATTTGGATTTTCATTGGGCATTATTCAGCAATCCCTCGGGTCAGACATAAACCATAACACTCACAAACAGATATACGGTGTGCATATAAAACCATAAATATGTCAAACATTTTTCATTTAAAAAATTGAGAGTTGCTATGTCATTACCTGAATTATACGTTTTCAACAGAATTGTTAATATCTGACCTACTCCCAAAAGCTATGGCTATTCTCACTTAAAAGCCTGAATGGTTTTTCTTCCTTTGCAGTCATGTTTGCTTTTCTTCTTTAGTCTCACGCATTTTCAACATAATTTTATCATACTGCTGCTATTCCACCACGATTTGATGTGTCCGTACCACAGACGTTGCTCTTCTATGTGAAGCTTACACATGAGCACATGATTCCTAATTCTTTTGGTTTTGAGGGCTTTTCCATCAACCCCATCCCACCTCAGCCTCTACATGTATCATCTCCACTTCCACCTTTTAGATTTGGTTTGGTTTTGTTTTTAACTTAGGAAGCAAAGGAAATTTTCTTTGCCTCAGACTCCCTCTACTGTTTGGGATGGTTATTTGTCACCAAAGGGGTATTTAATCATTATTGGTTTGGTTTGATTTTGGTCAGAGATATTTGGTAGCCACAGGTAGGTTAAATACACACTGTTCATTTACAGCTTATCAAAAGGATGTTTTGAAATCCTAGGTATCAAATTCTTTCATTCACCCTCTCAAGAGGAATGGCAATCAGTTACTATTAGATAGCTATTAGATAGAGGTCATCTAAAGTTGCAGGTACAGTATTTTAGGACTGTAGTTAAAACTGGATTTAATCTGAGGGCCATTCTTCCCTCCACTGAACTTAGTCACTCTACTGAATTTAGCAAAGAAAGGATTTCTTTGGATGTCCTCACTGGAGGTTGTTTCGGTCTTCACAGCTGTCATTTGAGTAGCCAAGAAGACTGACAGTGAAGGAATTTTTTAAAAGAAATAAGTTAATTAAACATTAGACTTTCTCTTTAGAAATTATTAGAATTTTAACAGAGGGCGTGGCCAAGGAAGCACAATTACTGTTTAAAATGGTCCATCAGAGAGTCTGAGTTCATTAAGCTCTTTTCTGGAATACCCAATTCCATGCCAATGCCCCAGAAGTCATGGCAGGTGATGTGGTCAGTGTCTGGCCTTCAGCCACGAACCAACGGTGAGTTCCACCTGCAGAAGACTTGGAAGTGGTATACTTTTCACAAAGGTCAGTAGTTTGTCCTTAATTTTTCTTTTTGCCTTTTTATTAAATATTAGACTGGGAAGCTCGAATTGACAGCCATGGGCGGGTCTTTTATGTGGACCACGTGAACCGCACAACCACCTGGCAGCGTCCGACAGCAGCAGCCACCCCAGATGGGATGCGGAGATCGGGGTCCATCCAGCAGATGGAGCAACTCAACAGGCGGTTGGTGATCAGTATGCAATGGGCTCCTCTAAACCCCGGTGAAAGGAGAATGTCAGCTAAAGAAATCCTCTTACATTTTTCTGTTCAGACCATATGAGGAGCCTGGAAAGTAATTGAGTATCATAAGAAACCCATCCATAATAGATACTTGGAAAGCTAGATTTAGAATCGGGTGGCAAGAGAGAAGTTCAGCTTGAGTGTCATTTAAAAGTGAGAAATCCTCTGAATTTCTTAATGACCCAGGCTTGAAAACAGGAGTTCTCATGTAATCCCCAACCCTAGAATGTTCACCAAGGATACCAGTGTTCCGTGAACCCTTCAGGCATTGTGTGCGAAATTATACATAGATGCGCATTTTTCTGGCAGCCTGGTCCATAAGATTTGTCAAAAGGGTGCAGAACTCAAACAGTTAAGAACATTCCAAGAATAGGTTGCATAAGAATACTAAAAGTTGCCTGGAGAAAAATTGGAAAAAAAAGAAAACTTCTCATAAACCATGGTATGCATTTTGGCCCTAGTCCCACAATTGCTAAATGTCCATAAATAATAGTTTTTTTAAAGCCTTCATCTTAGAAAAAAATACTTAAAAATATTTTTTGAGAATTGTTTTGCCTAAACACTAGACCCTCACTATTGAACTTGTATAGATGTAATTTTGCTTTTCACCTGCAAACAAAACCCTAAACAGCGTATCACTCTTGCCATAAGCTAATACAGAGCATCATCTCCAACATCCTGTGCTTTAAGACCAGGGTGGTAGCTTCGGGATGCTGTTAGTTACCAGGAGTGCAAACTGAGGCTTACTTCATTTGTCATCACACCCACATCCCATCTTGTTTTCATACCAAGGATGAAAGTAAAGAAAAGGTTGAAAGGGACTGAAAAGAGTAAAGAATTGGGTTTGGGGAGCACCCCTATTGATAGCAAATGCCTTTAAAACATAACTGTATCAGCCAGGAAAAAAAAAAGTGAACAATTAAAAAAAACACAGAAACAAAAAAATTGAACTTCTGGTTTTACTAATATAGAGAGAGAAGCATGCTTTAGGTGAAAATCACCAGAACATTCTTTTATTACTTGAGCATTTGGAAGATACTTGCTTTCCCTTTTTCTCCAACAGCAGTGTTTAAATCACTAATGAGAACCATAAAGGATTCTCATTGGCAGCATATCTTCCCTACAATCATTCCCACCATAACAAAGCATATTTCAAGGAGAAATTTTGATAACGAAATCTTATTTGACATGAATGGACCAAAAATCCATGGGAGGTTCTTTCGTGGTGATGTCAACAAAACTCTTGTAACTAAAAATGTAGAGGACACAGCAAGCTTATTTTACAAAGACACTGTTGTGATTCCACAAGCAGACATTAGCCCCTAAGTCTGTCTTGCTGAAACAGTTAAGCTGAAATTGTTTAGCAAGCTGAGAAATGGGGGGAAGCATCATTAGGTTCTATCTATAAGAGGAGCTGTTTGAACACTAAACCAAGCAAAACAATAAATCTGAATTAGAAGGAAGCACCTCCAACCTATGGCATAAACACCTGTGAAAGTCAGTGATGATGGTCAGCTTGTACAATATAAAAATTAGGCCAAGTTCTTTCAACCAGGTCTCTAAAGAGGCTTTGCAGCTTTTGATATGTAAATTCCTATGCCCTCCAGTGGAGCTGAACATGCTGAGAGAGGCAGCTGGACTATGCCGAAAAGGAAGTTGCACTTGCTGCATCCATCTGGACAGATAAAAAGAAAAGGAATTTAGTGATTTCAGAAAGTGCTATTTCTTGTCAAAAAGCCTACTTAGGGAAGGTCAAATAACTTTCAGATCAGTATCTGGGCTTTTCAATACGTATCTTAACCTATTGCTTTCAAGCATTTAAAGTTGTCTGTGATTTGGTGTGATAACGGCAGCCACAGAAAGCATACCACAGGTCTTTTATCTGCCTACATGGGATCACACATAGGGGCCATTTTTTGATAACCTGCAGTCATTGGGAGAAATTTACGATGATTGCTGGCTCGCAGCGATACAGAAATATTTTCCCATGTTGCAAGAAGTGGTTTCCCTTGACTCCCAGCCAGATGATTGTGAAGATCAAATATGTTTTCCCAAGGAGGCATACACTGAGAAATGCAGAGGGCACAATAGCAGCATGTCAGCTATTGTGGTGGTCCGCAGTGACCAGGTTCAAAGTCATCCACTTCCCAAACACAACACATTCTTCCAGGCCTTTTGAACTTGGCCACATGTTCCCATTGTTTGGAAATCCCTCATTCCCTGTCTCCCTCCTGGAATACTTCCCCTCATCCTACAGGCCTAACTCAAATGTCATGTGCCATGTGACGCTTTCCCAGAATCTACCCCACGCAGAGCCAGGGACTTCCTCTCCTGTAGCCTCACGAATGTGCAGGCCTCTGTTACAGCTCTTATGTTCTTACCGTATTCTTCTTTGTACCCCGCTTTGCCCCTAGTGCCTAATATGGTGCCAGAAATTTAACAGGACTCAGTACAAGATTGTTCCCTGAGTTAATTCCTACCCTTTCAGAATATCCAGAATTAATTGACTCTACTTTTACAAGTTTTTTTTATCAAGCCAGAAAATGTAAATGTGTATTCTTATTTTAAATAGTCAACTAAAGTTTATTCTCTAGTTATTACTATAAATTTACTTATTACGAAAATAGTTATTTCCATAAATTTAATTATTACTAAAACTTAGTTGTTACTGTAAAATTACTACCATATTAGGGGAAATAGAGGTTTTAATGGGAAAAAGTAATCTACAGTCTTACTACCCCAAGGATTTTGCAAATTTTTTTATGGATTTTGCTATTTTAAAACATGTATGCATCTTCAATTTCCAAATGTGTGCAGAATTCTTACATAGTTATAATGATAACATATCAGTTTTATACTCATTTTTCGCTTTCTGCACTATAAGCATTTTTGTATTGCTGCATAGCTAACTCAATTTCTCATGTTGAATGTTTTTCTTATTGCTTTTATCATTGTTTTTGATAAGGCCACCGGGGGTCTGTTAAATACTAAAACTGTCTTATAGTAGAGTGTTTCCGTAGGGTTCTCTTCCCAAAAGAGCCTGTCAAGGGAGATGAGCATGGTTTTGGTATTTGATATCAATGCCTAACTGCTTTCTACATTAGGCTTTGTGGATCTATGGGTTCACTTTGCCATCAACAGCCTCATTTCCCTCTCATCTTTTGGTTCGTTTTTGCTGATTTAAGAGGTGTTCCTGGTATTTTGACACCATTTATATCTTTACAGAAGGTCAACTTTCTTCCCATAAACTTTTCTTTAATAACTGTAGTTTCTTCCATGCAAATTGTTTGTTTTGGGGGGCTTCTTTAGTTTTTTGTTTGGTTGGTTGGGTTAGCTTGGTTTGGAAGGTTTTGTTTGTTTGGCTTTGTGCATATGCACATGTGTATATATATACATGTGTGTCCCTTTATAAATTAGGTATTCCAGCCTATTATCTTAACAATTTCCATGAACCCTTTACATACAATAAATATTTAGCCTTCTACTGCAAAAAAAGTAGAAAATATTGACAGATAATTCTTGATGAAATAGAAGAGAACTGGTTTTCAGACTTTCTCTCTCTTTTTTAATGCAGGGTGAGCCTCTGAGACTGCGGTCTTGCCCTTGCTGAGAGATTCCTCCTCACACCACTGTGTTCCCTACTTCCCCAAACTGCCCCTGTGCTTCAGTAAAGGTCAGGGCTGGGGCCTGATACCCAGAGTCTGAGGCTGTTGACTCAGTAAGGCATGAGATAACCAAGGTCCAGCAGAGAACATGGGAAGTAGGTTGTGGCATTGCTGACATTTTCATCATCAAAGAAGGTCATACTTACAAAGATTCTCTGCTATGGTCACTGCACTTTGGGAAGGAAAGAGAGGCCAAAACTTGACATTTTTCTAAACCCTAGTCCAGGTATCTATTGCTGAGTAACAAACTACCCCAAATGTAATAGCATAAAACAATAATCATTTACCATATTATCATGATTTCTTATGGTTCTGATTAACTGGGCCCAGTCAGGCAGTTATCTCCCGAGTATCCCATGGTGCACTCCAGGGGTGGTTGGGGCTGAAGACTCATGTATCTGGAGCAACCTGGCTGCATGCTGGCTGTTGGCTATGACTGTCAGCCAGAACACGGGACATTCTAGATGACCTGAGCTCTCTCATAGCATGGTCTCTGCATCCCATTACACTTAGCTATATTAGTCAAAGTAGCCGCAAGACCTTCCCAGGTCCATGGGGAAGGAACATTAATTCTACCGCTTATAAGGAGAATGATAAGGCTCTGGAAGACCATGTGGGTCTCATAATGTCATTGAGTCATTTTGGAAAAATGTAACCTGCCTTAAGTCATTTAGGGAATCCTCTCAATGGCAGTCTCTTTAGTCTTTGGCAGGCTCTCCAACAGGTCAAGGTTTCACACTTAGGCAACTTCTCACTGGTGCCTCCTGCTCTGCATCCCACTGCATTACCTGAATTCCAGCAGGAAGATCAAAAAGGGCCAACCTTCCCTACACCACGACCTCCCCACTATAGATGTGTTGAGGTGGTAAATTAACACAAATGTTTCTCTAAGCGGCCTGTTCAGGAAATGCCTCACAGTAACTGCTAAAGGCAAGGGTGGCTTCTGACAGGTGTCAGAGTGAGTGACAGAGGGGTCCTAACCCCAACCCTATCATTTCAAGATAAAATAAAGTCCTTAGACCAGTGAGTCTGAAGCCGAGATATAAATAATGCTACCTAAAGAACTAAACTACCTAAATAACTCTTTGAAAATGCAGATTTTTTTCAAGTTACTTCACTTTCCATAATTTTTACAATCACTCAGCTGATGCTCATTCAGATGGTCTGGAGACCACACTGAGAAGACCTTCCTTTATAAGGTCCAGGAAAGAATGGAGCACTGGCCTGCAGAAACCAGGCCACAGTGGAACCTCATTTCTGCCACACCACATCCCCGCTTGTCCCCACCTTGAGGTATACTTAGAGACCCGGTTGTTTCCTGCTACTTGGTCTCTCACCCTCCTCCTGCTCTTAACCTCTCTCCTTCCCTCATGACTTTCTTGGGCACAAGACCCATATAAGCAAGATTCCCCTGAAAAGTGTGACTCGCATGACCTTAAGGACCTCCAAGCCAGCATGTCAACTCCACACCAGTATGTCATCCTCCCCATCTTCCCATCCTTCTCCCTTCTCTTTTTCAGTGGGGCAACTCCACCTACCTGGTCTAAACAGAAACCTTGCACTTCACAGTTGACTCCTCCCTCTTCTTCAACCTCCATATCCAGTCAGGCTGCAATTCCTGTTGAATCTACTTGAAAGTTATTACAAATTCTGCTACCCAATAGCTCTCAAATTTATCCCCTTCTCCTGTCCCTGCTGTGCCTTGAGGCAAAGGGAAGCTGAATCCTGGTCATGTTGTCTCGGTCATCTGAGAGACACAGGGCAGAACAGAGATCACTGGGGAGGGGAAAGAGGGGCTACTTGGAGTAAGGAAAATGGAGTGGAGCACATAGGCGCAGACAGTGGACATAGGCCTACAGAATAGCAGGAATTTGGCAGAGCAGGCTAACAAGGGCAGAGAGGCTTAGGAAATTCTGTGCATATTCTGCTGTCAAATAGATATAGTTGATCGAGAATCCCTACACTCTGTAGGTGTTTCCCCTTTCCCAGCACACCGTGGCTGCCTGGTTGAGGCCCTCAGCATATCTGACCTAAACGATTGGACCAGCCCGCACCTGCTCTCTGCAACTCCAGAATCCTCTCCTCCAATTCATTCTCCACAACGACACTAGACGATCATTCTCAGTGTGCATCTGTCCCTGCCTCTGTTTTTGAGCAGCTACTCATCACTGAGCACAGAGAATCTCAAAGTGATCCCTGGGCCAGCAGCATCAGGGTCACCTGGGAACTCATTCGAAATGCCAATTCCAATTCCCTGCCCCAGAGACACTGGGATGGGGCCAACAGTCTGTTCTAGCAAATCCTGTTGCAGTTTGGGTTGGAGAACCTGTGGCCTATACAATAACACCCAGACTACTGCTGGGCGCCCTCTCCCTGCCTCCCTCTCCACTGGACTCCTGGCACTGCCCAGCGCTCACATATCCTGATGCCACCTCCAAGCTTCTCAGGGCTCTCCAAGGGTACCCGGCTTTTGTACATGTTGTTTCTCTGCTGAAATGTTCTTTCCCGAAAATTTCCCAACAAGTCCATACTCCAACTTTACAATCTTCGGAGTCTTCCTTGTCTGTGTCCCGACACATCTCTGACTTGTCTGTGACCACCTTTCATGTGGCTGGAGTTGTGGTTTCCGTCCCATTCTCCCTTTGTTGCATCTCCACTGGTATGTGTTCAAAGGGCAATGCCATATTCAAATCCTCTTTCTGAGCTGGAAGTCCAGCACAGAACTTGCACATATTGCAAGAAGTAGTAAATATTTAGTACTTGACAAGGTGACTAACTAACTAAATCCTCAACTGGAGAAAAAAATGTCAAATGAGCCCTCCAATAAGCAGAAAACATTTATTTGTTTGCCAGCATGCTTTTAAATGTAGTAGTTTCACAACCTCTGCCCAACCATGTCGTTTACCTATCAAATAGAAACAAATAAGTAGAATCAGTTTGTAGACTTACTACAATAATATAGAGGTAACTTGACATCTTGTTTGTAGCATTTTAATTTACCCCTCACACCTTTATGTTAGACTTAGCCTGATTTTGTTTGACACACAGCACAGGCTGATTTGCATGGTTAGTTATTATTTGTGTTGATTTTTTAAAAGTCACTATACTTGAAACTCATCATAGATTACAAAACAAAATGTCAAATAACCTTAGAGATACTTGCCTTGCTGTTTTAGCTGTCTTGCTGAAATTTTATGCATTTCTTTCCTGACATTCAAGAGAATTCTTTACCAATTTCTCCAATTATCTGATTCAGAGCATTGGCTCCCAACAAGCAAACAAACAAATGCTAACTCCTGTCTTTCCATTTTCTAATGCAAAGGTATCAAAATATTCAGCGAACCATTGCAACAGAGAGGTCTGAAGAAGATTCTGGCAGCCAAAGCTGTGAGCAAGTCCCTGCAGGAGGAGGCGGAGGTGGAGGGAGTGACTCAGAGGCTGAATCTTCCCAGTCGAACTTAGGTATTGGAGGAGGAGGGTCCCCAGGCATCTGGGATAGCGTCTAGTGGCTGTGTGACAGGGGTGCACAAGTCCCTCACCCTACCTCATGGGTATCGCACTCTGGGATGAAGAGCACAGCGGACCAGGGTGGAGGAGAAAAAGGCATGCTTGGTGCCCATGTGGGAGAGCAAACAGAACAGAACTTCCCACCAGGAAGCTTAGAAGGAAGAGTGGTTTGACAGTGCAGGGAATGCCACCACCCTGACTTGGGGATCTGGAGACAGAAAAGCAGATGAATTCTGAGAATGGAGCTGAGTTTACTATAGTGCTTGTACAGCAAGACAACTTTGTTGGTGGCTTAATCGTTTGTTGTTAAGTAAATGCACTTGTTGGTGTCCTAAGTATTTTTCCACTTATAACTCAAAAGTGCAATAAAAATCTAGTCTGTTTCAAGGAGCCATGTGACAACACTAGGAATAATTACTTGTTTGCATTTAGAATAAAATTATGTTTCCCTGAGAGAGGAACCTGGGGATGAAAAGGTTTTCCAGCACACTGCAGGAAAGCAATTTTACCTACTATAGTAGGCATTTGCCCAGAGTCTGATTTTCCTGATTTTCATTTCTTTGACTCTGCCTGAGTGGAACTCAGACAAGGGTATTCAAAAAGTATGAGACTGACTTTCACTTTTTTGTACTTGTAATTATATAAGATTATCACAGTCACATCCTAATAATCCACCTTCTTTCTAAATTGGGTAAATGATGGCATATGTATGGGGGACCCCCAAAATGGAATTTATTTCTAAAAAAATGTGTATTTATTCTTGCATGTTTAAACTTCTGTCACCTCCAAAGTACCCTTTGATACAATACACCTATCAAGACTCTTTCTACTGCTCAAAACAGTTTTTGAACTCATCAGTTCTGATGCCTTTTAATGTTTCTGCTGTTTTTTGTTTCACCTCTTCCACATCAAACCATTTCCCTTTGAGGCCTTTTTTCATTGGGGAAACAAAAAAGTCGCTCAGGCCAAGTCCGAGTGAATGGGGGGTGGGACACGGGGGTCATGGCATTTTGGGTCAAAAACTGCTGAACACTCAGCATAGTGTGGTTAGGTGCACTTGTAAATCACCCATCATGAAATAGGCAAACACACTGAAAGAATCTCAAAAGAAAAAAATTCACTGAAGCCACATGTGGCCTCTCACAAGAAGGCTACCTGGTACACTGATGCCAATGGGTTCCTAGAACACTTACCTAGCAAGGGAAGCCTGTACTACAAGGGACCCCCCTCCAAAAAATAATTCCAGGTTTTTGGGGGATCCTCTCCCCTTGTATTTGCCAAAAGAAGGCTCAGAGAACAGTTTTGGCAGGCAGCACTGAGATTCTAATCCTGCCAGGTCTCAACTGTCTGTGGCAATGCAGAATATTGGATATTTTCATGTGATTTTTTTCAATGCAGATTCCAAGTTCCACCAACAATTTTAATTCTATTTCTTTCCTTCAATTCTATTTCTCTTACCAGATATACTAACTAAACTGAGTAGTTTAGGTTTTTCTGTCATTAATTTTTCATTCAGCCTTCTGGGAGAGATGTGGTACAATCGTCAAGTAATTAGAAACACAAGGAAAAAGAAATAGAAAATTTATTTGATATTAGGTCCTTGGGCATTTACTGTGTAACAAACCATCCCCAAGTTTAGTGACTTTGACTCACAACCATTCATTTATCCCACAATTATACAGGTTGGCAATTTGAGCTGAGTCCAGCTGGGTGGCTACTCAGGATTCTGCTGGGCTTTCATGTCCGTCTTTGGTCAGCTGTGGAATCAGCAGTGGACTGGCTGGCCTGAGAAGGCTTCTGCTAAGTGACTTGTCTCTGTCCCCTTAGCTCCCCATCTTGCAGCAGTCTAGCCCAAGTTTGTTCTCACAGTGGTGGCAGGGATATAAGAGTTTGAAACCCTGACTGAGAACTGACCTCTTGTTACTTTTATCATGTTCTGTTAATTGAATCAGGGCACAAAGCCAGCCCCAACTCACTCAAGGCAGGAGCTGCAAAGTCTCATCGCAACTGGGTGTAGATACAAGGAAGGGCAGAATTGTGGCCCTTTCTGCAAGCAATCTCTTAGAGCTCTGGAGAGCAACTTGTAAAGAAAATAAGAAGAACGTCACTGAGATAAAAGGAAGATGATATTAAAGAACTTTAGCCTAGCTGAAGTTATGCAGAAGCACCACTAGGAAATAATGATCTTAACTGACAGACTTAAAGTAATATGATGCCTGGTTTTATCGCTATTAAAAACAACAGGCTGCTATGTGAGTGAAGGCTGTGTCCCACTGCTGTGAAGACAGAAGTACTGAGTTTGAAATGACTTTTTCCCCAATGTATTCCTTTGCTTTGCTTCGCTTTTTCCAGATCTGAGGAGAGAAGGGTCACTTTCTCCTGTGAACTCACAAAAAATCACCCTGCTGCTGCAGTCCCCAGCGGTCAAGTTCATCACCAACCCCGAGTTCTTCACTGTGCTGCACGCCAATTATGTGAGTGCTCCAAAACTCAGAGGGGACCTGGCCTGGCTCACGAAGGCCCAAAACACAGTTTTGTGAAGTCATTTGATAGATCTAAGAGGGTAGAATTTTACCTCAGGCAAGAAAAACCAAAATAAAAGACAGTTCAGTCCACGCTTTTTACTATCTGTGAGTCTCCCAAAGGGGAAAAAGGCTGGGTTTGGAAAGAGGATTGCCTCTTTTGCTAGGCTCAAATGTGTTCATGTCAGTGAAAGTGCTTTGGAAACAAATATGTGTTTTTATTATTGTTGTTAAAATTTTTAAAGGAACAAGATTAAAAAGTGGCCAGATTCCCTTCAGGCTGAATCTTTTTTTTCTTGGAGTTGGAGTCTCACTCTGTCACCCAGACTGGAGTGCAGTGGCCGCTCCTGGCCACCGCAGCCTCAACCTGCTAGGCTCCGGCGATCCTTCCGCCTCAGCCTTCCAAGTAGCTGGAACTACAGACGGGCACTACTACACCCGGCTAATTTTTTATTTATTGTGGAGATGAGTTCTCATCAAGTTGCCCAGGCGGGTCTCAAACCCGCGGGCTCAGGCAATCCACTCACCTCAGCCTCCCAAAGCGCGGGATTACAGGCTGAGCCACCGAGCCCGACTTGGGCTGAATCATTTTATAAAATTATCTTCACTTCAGAATTTTTAAAGTAGACCTTTCCTGGATAATTAGCAAGGTATCTTTTTGACACCGTTTTTTCAGACTTTGATGTCATTTTATGCCGTTTTTTCATTGCATGTTTTGGTACTTTCAAGAAAGCCATAGCATAATATCACTATGTTCATTAATTCTTCCACTTGACAATCATTTTCTGCTGTTCAGGCACAGATCCAGGTGCTGGAATCACAAAGGCAGATTGGGTAGGGTGACACCTAAAATGGTCGGACCCCCTTGTCTTATGGAGCAATGATGCATAAAAAGAGCAGCCTATGATGACAGGACTGAGCTTGAACTAAGGGAAGACAAAGCGCTCTGGGAGCACTGGGTAGCACCAGCTGAATTGAGTCCTGAAGGTTAAAGTGGGTGGGAAGAAGTCCAGGCAGAGGGACAGTCTGTTAGAATGGACGAAACTGTGGGAAGGCCTGGTGGGGGAGGGGGCGATTCCTGGGGACTGGAGTGTAGGTGGCTGGCAGAAGGGGAGGAAAGACTGGAGATTCGACAGCAGAGCACTCGGTATTTCATAAAAAGAAGCCGGGATAGGCCAGGCATGGTGGCTCAAGCCTGTAATCCCAGCACTTTGGGAGGCTGAGGTGAGAGCATTGCCTGAGCTCAGGGGTTCAAAACCAGCCTGGGCAACTTGGTGAGACTTCATCTCTACAATAAATAAAAAAAATAATCCAGGCGTGGTAGCATGTGCCTGTAGTTCCAGCTACCCGGAAGGTTGAGGCGGAAGGATCGCCTGAGCCCAGCAGGTCGAAGCTGTGGTGACTGTGAGCATGCTGCTGCGCTCCAGCCTGGGCGACAGAGTGAGACTCCAACTAAAAATAAAATAAAATAAAATAAGAATCCGGGATCTACTTCAGTAGGCAACCAGAACCAATAGCAATCTTAGGCATTGGGGCTGCCTAAGCAGGAATTTTGATGAAGCATTTTCTCTGGCAGGGTGTTGGGGAGAGACCAGGGGGCTAAAACAGGGCTGATTCAACTGTTCAAGTGAGAGATGACCAAGGCTTGGTCCACAGAAGGGACTGGGAGTTCAATTCAGGGTTATTTCTCATGGAATCCATAGCGTCTGGGTCCACTGTGATCACAGGTAGACATAAGGTGAGGACCCAAGAAAGACTCAATAGTTTCTGCTTTGGGAACCTAAGTTAGGTGGTGACTCCATTAAGCAGGTGTAGTAGCAGTATGATAAGGCCATGGAGTGTGTGACTGGGGAAGGAGAAGATCAGGTTTTAGCAGGATGTTTTTGAGAAGACTGTGGGATGCTCAGTGGTTGGATTCAGAGCAGCTTCCCAGTGGTGCAGTGAGTAGCTACAGTGGGGAACAAGCATGGCAGATGTTGATGCCCGCACTAGCCCAGGTGGGCCCTGGGCCAACAGGAGCCACTGACCAGCTCCTTCTCTCTCTCTCTCTCTCTCTCTTTCTCTCTCTCTCTCTGTCTCTCTCACA